GAATGAAGGCAGAGCTGTGCTGCCGGGTAAGAGCCATGGCGAGCTGAGGGGCTTGCTGGCACCACAGGGAAGAACCCCTTTTGAGCAGTCATGTGACCAGCTGTGGAAATGAAGTTCCGAGTACTGCTTCTTTGTTCTATTGTGTGTGTTGTGTAGGCCCGTGCGTGCTTACATGTTCACACGCTCGCTGGCTCGCATACACACACACACACACACACACACACACTCAAAAAACCAAAGTCACTGCCATGGAGTTGACTGGACGACACACACGTACACATCAAACATTCTTGTTCTGTCCCTCGCCTATCCCGTTACTTAGAAAAGAGAAGTTTTACACGGGGCTGCTGCAGGCTGGGTTGTGTACATGTCCATTGTAACAGGTTAATGTGAGCATGACTTGACGACTGTCTTTATTTAAGAACATGAATGGTTAAAGGAAGTATATTGACAGGTGATGATCATTATCGCCTGTCAACTGGGCCAGGCTGTTATTCTCCTTCGTTTCGCAGCCACTGGGCTGATGGCTCTTCATCATGTAACGTAATCGTCCCCTGCACTTTGTGATCTGATGTGGCGGCTAATCCATTTCTCAGGGCTGCGGCCTGCATCTAATTTATATGCATGTTCTGGCAAAGCCTCCTCTCTCCCCACCCTGCGTCCTCCTTGTCATCCTCAGATCTCTGGTTCTTGGGATGTGGGCCAATGACCTGCCTTCTGACCTGCAAGTTTGGGGTTTCACCGGCTCCTTCAGCCCATCTGACTTGATGATTTGGGGTTCATCAGCCCGTGTAAACTACACGGGTCAGGAGAAGCCTCCTGCCTGACATCTGATCCACAGAGTTTGAACCTGCCAGCCTTCACAACTGCATGAAGCATTTCTCTGAAATCAATCTGCATCGATCTGGATTTAAAGAGAGAGACTTGGTGATGCTGTGGGTTAGGTGCTAACCGCAGGTTGGCAGTCTGAGCTCACCAGATAACTGTGACAGAAGATGAGGCTGGCTGCTCGGAGAGAGAGAGGTACCGTCTCTGAGAGCTGTTGGGTCCCTGTGAGCCAGAATCAGCAGACAGTGGTGTGCACGTGTGCTTCACGGGGTTTGCTTCTCAGAGAGCCCAGCCTAAGGCAGTTCTCAACCTCAACCACAAAAAGATATTTTCTAAAGTGAGTTCTCAGGCTGCTGAGGCAGTAAGCCGATGTCTGAAGATGACTGGATGCCTTGTGGTTATTTTCTTTGACAGCTTTGACAAATCAAGAATGCGCCTTTGTGTCGGAGGATGCAGCAGGTGGGTCGTCTTGAGGTGTATACACAAATGTGGACTGCAGCTGCCTTTTTTCTTAAATGATAGACAAGGATCAACTCTTTTTTTTTATCATTTTATTAGGGGCTCATACAATCCATACATACATCAGTTGTGTAAAGCACATTTGTACATTCATTGCCCTCATCATTCTCAAAACATTTGCTCTCCACTTGAGCCCCTGGCATCGGCGCCTCATTTTCCC